CTTGATTAATTCTTACTCTGTAAAGATAACAAGAAATAGTAAAAGTATCGCAGCTAAACTTGGTGTCTCTTTACAGGGTTTACAATTAGGACCTACAGAAGCTTCGCGGTACTGGATCTACTGGGTTCCTGCGCAGTATGTGGATGCCATCAAAGATACTGTTCTTGGCAAGTGGTAAATACACACAAGCCGGTTGGATTATTTTTGCCAACAGTTTTTCATTCTTGTTTTATGTAACATTTAAGTTTTTCTTTTTAATGCAAGCAAATGGGATTTTCTCAGCTAACTCGTATGTGGAAAAGATACCAAATTGTTTAATTAATATTACTGCAATCATTCTCTGATACCATGTATGCAAGGCTTTGTTGTAGGGAAGTTGGAGGAACTTTGAGTTTACATCTGATAGTTTCTGCTAAGGTCTTGTTTATTTTGTAAGTATATCCCTCTCCCCTGCATTCTATTTCTATAAGTTGGTCACTTTTTTACTGACTTCTTCTTCCCCACCCTCATCCTCATCCCCCCTCATCCCCATACCCTAACCTTCATCCTCACCCACACCCTCACACTCATATATTTATCCTCCTCCTCCTCCTCTCCTCTGCCTCCTCCTCCTCTTCTCTTCTTCTCCTCCTCCTCCTCCTCCTCCTCCTCCTCCTCCTCTCCTCCTCCTCCTCCTCCTCCTCCTCCTCTTCCTCGTCCCTTCTTCCTCGTCCTTCTTCCTCCTCCCCTTTCCTCCTCGTCCTTCTTCCTCCTGGTTCTTCCTCGTCCTTCTTCCTCCTCGTCCTTCTTCCTCCTCGTCCTTCCTCCTCCTCGTCCTTCTTCCTCCTTGTCCTCCTTCCTCCTCTTCCTCCTCTTCCTCCTCTTCCTTATGTAGTTTTTTGATGTTCCATTGCTTGATTACCTTGGCTTCCAAGGCTTTCTTTGGTTTGCTATATGCTTTGCTAGGGTTCAGGTTGGCCATATTATATGGGTGAATTATCAGGATTGCTTTATATATGGGGGCACATTATATGGGTGGATTATCAGGACTGCTTTATATATGGGGGCACACAAAGAGGAAAAAAAGCATATAGCGATAATGTATATAAGATATAAGAAAACAAGTGTATGCATCCCTGCATATATATTCATGTGCACTCATACACACAGTAATACAGATACATGTTTATATGCATGTCTAGTTCCCAAAAATGTATCATTTGTTTCTCAAAGTGTCTCCATGAAATATAATGAAAGAGATTAATACCCAACTGTCAGTTAGCAACATGAGCACTGGAGACATATTGCTACAGTCACGGAAAAGGCAAATGAAATATATATTTTTAAAAATGTTTGGAGAGCATTTTTGAGGACTTTTACATACACATATGTACCAATACATATATGGATATGCAATGCATATACATATGCATTATATGCACTTACATGCACTCACAGAGAGAGACATAGACAATGCTGGTCAAAATTCTTGTCCACCTCAACATTTTTATTAGCTTTATCATATATTATTACTTAAGACAATAAAACCAAGCCAGTTACTGCAGTTTTGATATGCATTCCCATTATAAGTAAGATATGCACAAGAGAATGCATCATATCATATATATTCAAATTGCGAAGACATTTTCCTTGTTAGTGCACCCATCTATTTATCATAATTATTGAGAATGCAGTATAATTTGTTCTATTTTGTGTAAAGAGTTTCATTATATTTAAAATTCATATGCTTTGGATCATAGATGAGTTTATTTGATGATATACTGTAAAAGGTATATTATTGCATTTGATTCAAAAATTATTTTAACTTAATTTAGGGATAATGCTTAGATGTTAATGGACATGGGTTAGACCAGTGTGAATATGGATAAAGCTTTTGATTGTTACTGTTACACACATGCAGACAGACACAGACAGACAGATACACAGACAGACAGGCACACAGACAGACAGACAGACACATAGAGACAGATGCACAGACATATACACAGACAGACAGACAGACACAGACATACACGCAGACAGACAGGCACACACGTAGACAGACAGGCACACAGACAGACAGACAGGCACACAGACAGACAGACACACACAGACAGACACACAGCAGACACAGACACACACAGACAGACAGACAGGCACACAGACAGACAGACAGACACACAGACAGACAGACAGGCACATAGACAGACAGGCACACAGAAAGACAGGCACACAGAAAGACAGGCACACAGACAGACAGGCACATAGACAGACAGACACATAGACAGACAGACACAAACACACACACACACACACACACACCACACACACACACACACACACACACACACACACACACACACACACACACACACACACACACACACACACACACACACACACACACACACACACATATACACACATATACACACATACACACACATACACACACACATACACACACATACACACACACACACACACACACACACACACACACACACACACACACACACACACACACACACACACACATACATACATACATACATACATATACACAAACATACATACATACATACATACATACATTACATACATACATACATACATACATACATACATACATACATACATACATACATACATACACACACACACACACACACACACACACACACACACACACACACACACACACACACACATAAACACATAAACACACATAAACACACACATACACATACACACACATACACACAACACACAACGCACGCACGCACGCACGCACACACCACACACACACACACACACACACACACACACACACACACACACACACACACACACACACACACACACACACACACACACACACACACACACACAAAGATACACACACAGATACAGCAGATACACACATAGATACACACATAAATACACACAGATACACACATAGATACGTATAATCATATAATATATATATATATATATATATATATATATATATATATATATATATATATATATATATATATATATATATATATATATTACATAATTATACACACAGACAGAGACACCAGACAGCAGGCACACAGACAGACAGGCACATAGACAGACAGGCACACAGAAAGACAGCCACACAAAGACAGGCACACAGCACAAGACAGACACACACACACAACACACACACACACACACACACACACATGACACTCACACATCACACACACACACACACACACACACACACACACACACACACACACACACACACACACAACACACACACACACACACACACAACACACACACACACACACACACACACACACACACACACACACACACATTCACACTCGTGAGGGTGCCCACATTATGTGTACATTGATATCAACTATATAGAGATATAACCATAATCATACATGTAGCCTATATGTATATGTACAGTTGACAAATTCACATCTGTGATTGAATCCCTTGTAATTCTGTATCGAATATGATGAATGCGAATGTGTTATGATTGTTGATAAAAGAAGAAAAATTTGTATTTGGCAATCTAGTTAGATTCATATTACTGGAGGAAGTGTTACTGGTTGATATATGTTCTCTGTATCATTTTACAGATGCATTGAACACCAAGTTTTCTAAAACATTTTGGATTGATTTATTTCATTATTAGATTTTTTCCCCAAGCATTTCATTCTTCGTTACAGATTACTGGGAAAACAGTCATGCAGTGACAGCACTAGATATCCAATTAATAGCACAAAGGGTATCGTGATTTTAGTCGACAACTTTGCATATGCAAACAGATGCAGACTGGCACACCTGCCCGCATACCCAATTTACAGCATATTTACTCCATATATCTGAGAAAGATATTCCTATATTTGTGGTATTTAGAGAAAGAGGAGAACTGGAGGTGCTGAATTATATCTGAAATAATAGATGCTGAGGCTTATTCTAGCTTAAAGTAGTCCGATGCTTGAAAATGCACCCGGACCGGGGTAAAACACAAATTATAACTCATGAGGATGTGTAAATATTTAGCTTCAACCATTGAGAAACACAAAAGGCTAGTTATGAGCTAGGAAGAAGGATCTTATTTAGTGATCATGACAAAGTGAAGATATATGAATTTATTTTTTTATTGCTCTGATTTTGAGATAGATATTTAATTTTGTTAATTTACCTTTTTTCTACCAAATTGATAATCACCCTAGTAGAAACCACAATGTAATTAGTGCCTGTCTTAGTTACCAACAATGCATTTGATAAACTAGCATATGTAACACAGGAAATTAACAATAACTCTCATTTTCTTCATTTCATCAAAGAAAGTATTTATCCAAAGGAAACATTGCTTTAAGATGATGCACAACATGCTGCATGTACTGTAAGAGATTCCTTATTAATGATTATAGAACAATTAGATTTATTTTGATTTTGCTAAGGCCAGATTGATATTTCAAAACTCACAAGAAACTGTCCTACAAATAGGCATCCAATTCCTTCAAAGTGTGGATGGCAAGCTACAGCTCCTCACTGCCCACTTCTTTCATAGCTGTTAGAACTTTGACCATGTTACCGTTTCCATCTCTAAGTAACTTCCAAACTCCAATTATTTACAAAAAATGTGTTTTCATGAAATGGTTCCATAGCAGGCAGCATGTGGTTGTTGCATAGCAGGAGAAAATGATAGTATGATATGGTATAAAGAACTATTAGACCCAAGTAATATATACATGGAAAGATCCTTTCTTTAGCATTTAATTGATTTAGGCCAGTGATTTTCTTTGCCCTGTGGCAGTACTGAAAGCAGAAATATATATTGAGAGTATTTGTACTCCTGTTAGTTATAAACATATATGAAATGACAATTTTGTTTTATGAAGTTGCTAAAAAACAATGTCCAGAGGGCAGAGTACAAATGCTCCCAGTTTTATTAGCTAGAGTAAGCCATTTTTATATTTTTGTGCACTACAGATAATGACAATTTTTCTGTATTAAACTGTGATGTGCAAATTTTCCATTTATTATACACTTTCAAATGCATATGATGACCTATATCACAGCTGACCAGTATTTTATTATAACTGCATTGATTAAGATACATACACAAGTAATGTGATTCTTTCATTATGATTAGTTGTCTGCTGCGTAGATTTAAAGTTGTCAAGAAACCT